GATTAGACATATAAAAGCAAGTAAATAATGTACTTCAGGCATATTACTTATGAGTCTTCGTTTAGGATAAAATAAGTTGACTTGTGCATTGAACCAAATGGCTTACTTAAAATAATGTTTCGTTTCCACTATTTTGACTTTTTGTCAAATTGTCAAGGTTATGGTGATATCAGGAAACCACCATTGGTAGAAGTCATCGCATGTTTTGGTTTACTTAGGACCTCAGCTCACTTCAATATTGCTCAGCACACTCATTAATTACTATTTTCCAATATATCTTCAAGAAACATGAGAGCCAAAGTATTTTCTGGAGAACAAGTAGTCTAGTCTTTTAAGCAGCTCACAATGGCCATGCTTTGTGTAAGAAACCCAGGATGAACTTGTTACTTATAGCGGCCATTTCGTGCGTGCTCACAACAATGGTCAGGTAGCAACAATCACTGGAACAGTTTTAGGTTTCATTCCCCTTCTTTCATATATGAGTATGCCCCCCTTTGTTTTACTTCCTTCGAAAACGCAGGATATAGGGAACTATCAATACATGATGGACAGCGCCAGCTGCCTTGTGATACCGACCCAGCGCTGGTGAAGACAACAGCTGGACAGTGCCAGCTGCCTTGTGTTCCCGTGTGCTCGCCGTTGCCAGCGACCAAAGAACTCAATGCCGGCCGGCATCACCGCTTCCATGGATAATGAAGCCAATGTGTTCGATGAAATGGGAACAAGGTTTTTTTTGTATTTCTTCCTCTCAATTTTTCTAGATGGTTTGTACATACCACATCTCTACCATTATAATATTCAAGTTTTTTCTTCCACAGCAATCTGAATAATAGCATATAGATCCTTGTTAGTCAATATAAACCACACTGGAAAATATAATAAAATAATTTTACGTGCTGTGATTTGGGGCATACTGTTATTCAAGCAACAATGCAAGAACAAATGAATACTAGTTTTAGAATTAACTTGCTCCAGTGATGGATTCTCCTAAAATAGGATAACATGGAATTAATCTTTGACACGCTGAAATATACGTAAGAGATAATCAGTTTAGAATTAATCGTGAACTTAAAAGTTCAGTTGGGTAAGCTACAAAGCCTTCAGCTCCTACAGTTTGTGCTGGACATTTGATGTGGTGGGATCGCAAAGGAGTGCCTAGCAGTCTTATGCCCTTTTAGCTAGAATTTGAGGTTGTAATGATAACTATTTGAGATCTACACATCTCTAGAAGATTTTTTGGGACACATCTTGGCATGACCCAACCTAAATGGCTAGCATTTTCTTGCCGTCTGATTCCCTGAATCCTGAACTTAAAAGTTTAATTGGGTAAGCTACAAAGCCTTCAGCTCCTACAGTGTATACTCTGAAGGTATCTGAACCCACCATTTACATTATTGATCAGAACTTCAAAGGATTTAAACACAGGAACATCCAAGATTCAGTCCCTTAACCATTTTTTCTCTCCTTGAACAGTGAACACTGATATAATGACCATGCAAATTTGCCAAAATAACCAACTAAAGATCAATTTCTCTTGACATCCGCATGAGAAAGACACTACATTTGATTTCTAGAATGGGTTTAGGACTTTAGCGTACTTTGAGTTGCTTACTGGAGTGCGCATCTCCCGTCGCGGTTGGTGTGTAGCCACATCCTCCTGTTCTTCCACTTTGTCGCTGCCGCACCATCCCTACTCGTTTTCTTGCCATACCCTAGAAGGATGAGCAAAGGGAGATGAAGCAGTCAAGAGCTAGAGCACGAAGCGGCGTTTGATCGCCGCTGTTGCGTGCATCCACACACCGCTCGCTGATCCCCAATATCATAGTTGTTATGTCGCCGGTAAGGCGGCAATGGCGGAGGCGTGGGTAACTCACCTTGACTACGGAGGTCGTATTCTTGGCTGGGTTGAGAGCGAGGTTTTGCCCCTATGCTCCCTATTGTGTTTAGAGGGGGATGAGATTAAGAGTGATACTTCTTCATTGCTTGATTATTTCTCCAGGTGCCAATCGGCTTACATAGCCATACGGCTGCTGACTCTCTCACTCATGCAGCTAATGAACTCCACAAACTAAGGCCTATCAATCAACTAAATCCTCCACTCATGCAGCTAGCGAGCTCCACAAACTGGACTCGACTATTCTTATCACTAATCAGCCTGTTCGCTTGTTGGTTTCAGCCAGGGTTTATCAGCCAGCCAACAGTATTTTTCTCTCATAACAAACCAGCATCAGCCGGGCTTATCAGCCCAGAAACCAACCAGCGAACAAGCCGAATGACCAAACACTTGCACTGTTCAAAGCGTAGATATAATTTGGTGCGACAAATTCCCTGGAGTACAATCAACTAACTAGCACGTGAAATGCCTGGCACAAGCATGATGTTATCTCTACGAACTTGCTCTTTTTTCAAAGATATGCACTGTACTGTACCATACAATGGATCTGAGGACCTTAAATTTGGGCGTGAGAAGCATAAAGGCATACTGTACGCATATTGGTCAGGTTAGTCGTTTCTTCTCTGCTTCGGCGAAGAACGACGAAGCTTTGGCCGAATGTGACCTAAACTTTGGCCGATAAGCCACGGCTAAAAGTACTGTTGGTTGATTTGTTGTGAGAGAAAAATATTGTTCGTTAGCTGAAAAAAAATACGACTTATAAGCCAAGCAAACGTAAAGCGAAGCAACTGAAAGCCCGGCCGAAACCAGATTCCAGAATGACGTTGCCCACTGCCCACAGGACGAGAAACCAGCCGCTTGCTAAGGGCGTGTTTGGTTACCTTCTGAGATGAGCCAGGCTGTACGTGGGCATCCAGGCTGCAGGTAGCCAGGCCAAGGCATGCACAAGCCGGTGTTTGGCTATTCGTACTCACGGAGCCTGGCTGTTCGGAGTTTTTGTTTGGTTCACTGCATGCGAGCATCAGCCGTCTCACTGACATGTCCGGTCTGCATGCTTACTTGGCTCGCGCGAGCCTGGCCACGGAGGAACGGCGATTTTGGGTGTATGAGTTGAGCCTGGCTCACGAAAGAATCTTGCACCGCATGAGACAGGTCCAAACCTCCAACCAGCCAACCAAACGCTCGACTGCTGCATCCGTAGAGCCTGGCCACAGCATATGCAGGCAACCAAACGCGCCCTAACTCTCTCAGGCCACCCCTAACGCTCCTACGTGTACTGTAGCCTCAAACTTAGGCCCCGTTTAGATTCTAAAAAATTTTACGTAGTACTCGTCACATCGAATCTTGCGGTACATGCATAGAGTACTAAATGTAGACGAAAAAAAACTAATTGCACAGTTGGGTGAGAAATCGCGAGACGAAACTTTTGAACCTAATTAGTCCATAATTAGACACTAATTATCAAATACAAACGAAAGTGCTACAGTAGCCAAAATCCAAAAAATTTTAGATCTAAACGGGGCCTTACCCACCTGATAAAAGGAGCCAACTCCCCTTGCTAGTAGCTTGCAGAGGTGTCATATTCTCCTGCAGAAGATGTTATAGATTGGCTGACATAAAGCATGAAGCTACTAGTTTTGTGTGTGAGAAAGCAAAGAAGGTAAAAGCTGACACGCAGAGAGAAGAGAGAAGAGGGGTAGGGACAATGAACAAAAAGCAACAGCTGCCTGGGTTGTGTGTACAGTAGTCTGAAATGCTGCTTGTGCTTTGCTTTCTGGTGCTGTCATGTGCCTGCGTTGAGGCTGGCCTCAACAAACCTCGGACTCGTTTAGATTGTAAATTTTTACAACCTGGATATTGTAGCATGTTTCGTTTGTATTTGACAAACTTTGTTCGATCATGAACTAACTAGGTTCAAAAGATCCGTTTCGTGATTTACAACCAAACTATATAATTAGTTTTTTTTTACCTACATTTAATGTTCTATGCATGCGTCCAAAAATTAATGTGATGGAGAGAGAGTGAAAAAACTTGGAATTTGAAGGTGATCTAAGCAAGGCCCTCGAAAGATGACTTGTGAAAATGACAGTGCAATTCGCAAAAGGAGGACGGGGCACAAAAAGTGGGAAGCGTCGGTGCGGGGGGAGACGAAATTCCAAACTTGGGGTTCCTTCTTCCGTACATATCGGGAATCCCTTGAGACCTCACATCAAAGATTTTAGGTTGGCAACGCTGAAAGCAACCCCTGATGCTCGCCGGCCCTAGGGTCTGGGAGGAAGAGGAACACAGAACACACTACACCTCTGAATCTTTGGCGATCTAGCTCAAGAAAATCTTATTTTCTTGTATGCTTTTGATTCTGCAACTTTGTTAATTAATTTGGATCTCGTTCTAAATTAGTAGCACGTGTATATATAAGCTTTGTGGAGTGATCAGGGAACTGAAGCGCCGTGCGTGAACAGCTAGTGCGTTCTTCTGAGTTCTGAATTCCGTGAGTGATGGATCTCACGCTTTCACGTGAGTTTTTGCTAGGTAGAAGATTGCTCGCTCAATCTTCGTCAAACTTTAAGATTTGTAGTCAAATAAAATATGCAAAACTGGCAGAAGTCACCAGCCTCCAACAGACCAATAGATCAAGTAGACGTAGAAAAAAACTTGTTTCTCGTAAAAGAGAGAGGATTTTTATGTATAAAATCAGAACAGGAAGAAAGAACAGGGAAAGAGACGCACGTCTTAACCCTCCAACTCATGCAACTTTTATTCAGCCACAATATACCATGACATCCATCAGACCATGATAATAGACCATTACAATAGCAGCAATGGCAGCGCACATCATAACCCATGACTTAACAATCTACTATTTCCACACACACAAACGGCACGAGCTAAGCAACTGTTACCGGAACCTCACGAGTCACGACACGGAGCAGTTCAGTTCACTTCAGTCCATACGCATACGTCATTACGTCTTCATTGACTGGTTCTGAATACATACGACTAGAGCAGTTCCAGATTATTTCTGCAATAATAGTTTGGAATTTTAGGATTTTTATATACGGTTATTATAATGGAGGGTAGATCGATCTTGCTGTCTCTAGTCTCTTCAGATGGCGAGGACGAGGCCCGGCAGCGACTTTTGCGCGCTGTCGGCGCGGCGGCTCTGCCACAGGCACTTGGGCCCTGCAGCTGCAGACGACGACGCGGCCGAGGGGGATGCGGAGGAGGAAGAAGCAGAGGCAGCGTCCTGCTGCTTAGACGGAGCGCCTGCAATGTCAGCTTTCTTGGTGGAGGAGGCGGCGCCGGAGCCGGAGAGGAGGGTGACGGTGAGGTCGGTGTTGAAGTACTCCCTGAGCTGGGTGATCACCCCATCGGGGCCCACGGTCCAGGCGTGCACCCAGTAGAGATGGCGCGCGTCGTCGGCGCCGCCCTCGGCGATGACGGTGGACCCGAAGGCGTCGACGGAGCGCGGGGAGAAGACGAATCCTCCTCCGCCGCCGCCGCCGCCGCCGCCGCCGCGGTTCTTGTCGTCGCGCTGGTCCGCGCCGGTGAGGAGGCGCATCATGTGCTGGCGCGTGGGGGGCCCATGGAACCACCACTCGAGGTCGGGCGCCAGCAGCTCCTGCGCCCGGCGCGCGTCGCGGGCGTTGAGCGCCTCGTACAGCCGCAGCACCAGGAAGCGGTTGCGCTGCTCCGCCGACTCCCCGGCGGCGAACGCCGGCGCCTCCGCGTCCAGCTCCGCCGTCTTGTGCGGGCGCGGCGACGCCGCCGCTCCCTGACCTCCTGGGGTAGCCAACTAGCTCCTGCCGCGAGCGCCGCGTAGGCTATGGCTCTCCGATCCGATCCTCTCCCCGCTCCGCTCGAGGCTGTGATTTTGAGAAACTGTCGAGCAGCTTCTGCAACGGAAATGGCTGGATGGGGTGTGTGATGAATGGAGACGAGGACGCGGTGTGGAGGCCTGCACTGTGTGTGGGCTGTGGCGTGGCGGGCGGGGTGGTTTATATAGAGGAACGCCGCGCCCGCCGCGGCTAAGCGTTACGGAGTAGATTAGCATCTAGGTCCTCGCAATTTGGAGATTGTGCTGTGAAATCTCTGCTGTCTCTGTATCTACGTCTCTGTCATCTTTAACCGTCGGCCGTCGCAGTCTGGGGCTGAGATATCTTGAGATTTCAGGGGGGACTTAACCGCGAAATCAGATATCGGGAGTAGCGCGTGCGCGTGTCATGTTGGCGCGATGCAAGCCCACGGCAGCAGCTCATGAGCGGACGACGATGGCATGGCCACATCTCGGGGCGTTCGCTTCGGTGCTGGCGCGTCCAGCCAAGTCCCAGGCAGCCTCGGCCCCTGCCCTCCGGGTGCAGAGCCGCGGGTGTCGTCGTCGTGCTCACCAAGAGGCGCGCCCCGTGCGGAGTGAGCAGTGGGCAGTGGCCGTGGCGTCAGAGTGCGTGAGCACTGGCACTTCGCGACGGCAAGTCTCGCAACTTTTTGCTGCGATCCCATGTAGCCTGGCATGGCATGCGACGTGGGCGTTGTCAGCTGTCACCGCTCGTCTTGTCTCCATCTTGGGGCGAGGTGATCGGGGGAGGGCTCCTCCGTGTCGTGCCGTGTCCCCGGATCCCTGTACCGGTCGAGAGCACTGCACTGCACCGCCGGGCGCCAACGCGCACAAGCCACCAAAGAATCATATCTGTTGGCATTGGCACACCATCGTTTTCTATACGTTGGTTGGTTGGTGCGTGTGCATGCTCCTGCAAATTTCTTTTTTCTTTAGGAGCACTAACAAACTGATCGCAGACATATTCACCAATCTTGACACGAGTGATGACCGAAGCAACGGCTACGAATCTCTTCATATCGAACCGAGAGTGCAAGCACGAGCACCCAATTAAGCCATATCGCCTGTTACCCAGACTGTACGATGTTGGTTCGATCGGGTCTGTCACCCATCAACCTGCAAAGCCGGCCACGGGCCACTCACGAATCATCGTGAACCCGGGCCAGAGTTCCTCGTCCCTCCACGCTCCACCTCCGTCGTCCTATGGCCTTCGCCTGCCGCGCCGCCCGCAAGGAGAACACCAATGCCCCGAGCTGCCCTTGGACCTCAAGCAGCGAGGCTCATCAACCCTCTTCTTCCTTAGGCAACCCCTCCCCCGACCCTACTATGATGCATCACATTGCAGACCTTGGGCACGCGTTTGTGATACTACGGCCGGAGGTTAAGGTTCGAAACTGCAGGCGGAATCTGTGGCGTGGCAGTGCTCATCTGCTCAAGCGCCACCACACGAAGGTGGTGGAAGCACACCTATGGACCAGACGACACGCTCGGGCCATAGCTCTGCGAACTCTCCGCTCGTACCGCCGCGTCCGCAATCTATTAGTACATACTCTCCTCCCAGTGTTGATGTGCACGAGTCTAGACATCTGCTCCGCGAAAGGTGGCACGAGCACTCATGCCAAGTTGTAAAATAAAAAAATGTATACCATCCAAGAGAACTCTGTACTTTGATCTAACCCTAGCTGATGCTCAGGTCTCAATCTTTGTGTTCTGCCCCATAAAAGCCATGACCTGAATCGTCCAAGCAAGATCAATCACGGGACTGCATCAAGTTGACCACCATTGCTGCACTCTTGCACCTGTAGATTCGTGCACACAATCTGTTTGATTCAATGTTTTACAGCCTTATTTTCTAAAATATGGCAATCTATAATCTAAACTCTTCTACCCCATCTCTTATGACTAAATTGATGTTCTTACATCAAGAAACCACTTTCAATTCTACATATTTCCACATGAATTTTATGCTTCAAGCTCTAATATGAATGAGAAGCAGAGAAATCCTCAAAAGTGCATAAGGTGCATGTTGTGCAAATTTGAAATGGGTTCTCTACTACTTTAACAGCAACTACATATATGCACTTTCCTGATCCAACATTTAGTTCAATTGATCTGTATTTATTAAACCCTTTGTAAATTTAATTTCCTTTCTAGAGATTTCATCTCTAATTACGAAATCTAAAAATATGTAATATAAACTCCTCTACATGCAAGTGTCACATGCAGCTGTTTTCTATGACTTATTTTCTTCAGATTTACTATGTTATAATAATATAAGATGGTGCAAAGCCTGATCTAATTTCTAGATACCTAATCTTGCATTTTAAATTCCTATTCCTAAAAATTTATAGTAGTAGAAACTTTGCTTTTCAAAACCTGAAATATAGTATGGTGCAAAGGCTAGTCTAATTTCTAAATATGTTATCTTGCAGTTAATATTTATATTCCTAAAAAATTATATTAGCATAATCTTTGATTCCCAAAATCTGAAATTTTATTATACACTAGCATATCTTATTTTCGTACAGCTATGATGTCCTGATTCCATATTAATAAGATAGTGGCTAAAACAGATACAACAAGTGAACTAGTTTACCAACTATTAGATTAAACAAAAGAAATAAGATTAACTTCTGACTTAGATCCTGGTAGTTTGTTTTGCGGTTCTACTGATGCCTTTCGATGTAAATCAAATTATTACCAATAGTCTATGGGACCCACGATCCTCACTTATCGTTTTACAAGAAGCTGCAAGAAAAAGAAGACAAACAGAGCCTCCATTCATAATTAAAACGGGAATAAGTCATCTTTTCATCATGTAATTTATACAAAATTAATTTCCGTTATATATATGATTGATAAGTCATCTTGTTTTGGAACCTCCTCAAGTACTCCTGCTCAGATTTGTTTCTCAAATGTCCTCAGCACCATACTTACCTCTCAACTCTCTGCTCTTGATGGTCTTCAGGTGCCAATCTCAAGCTCTCAGCAGATGCTGCCAACTCCCTTGGGGTGAGATAAGCCATATATTATTGTTTTATCTCAAATATAAGGATTTAAAACCAATAAAAAAGTAGCACTGTCTTATCACGAAGATATATATGAACTGTAGGACTAAGATTGTTCATGCCTAGCACCAACCTTTGATATCTATCTACTTTGTAATGATTTTTTTTGTCAAATAGTATTATTTTAATAAGTAATTGCAAATCTAGATGGTGTTATGAAAAATTTGCAAGAATAAATGCCTATCAACACTTAGAAAGCCGATTGGACACTTATCGGCTATTGGTCAGCCGATATGGGAATATCGGTGCCTTGGAGGCTGATTAGTTGCGCCACGGAAATTTAAGAATGGCCACGTCAAAGTTTTCTGTGCCGACAGGCATATCGGCATCCCAAGGGCCGACTGGACATCGAACAATCCTCTCGGCCTTCCTGTAGCTGATAAGCCTCAGGCTCGGCCACAGTAGGTACTCAGGCGTCCAGTGATTCCTTTGATCTCATTTACATTTATTTAATTCTTTACCTTTGCATTTACCAGTGTGACTGTTGCATATGCTTTTGGCATTTAGGGGTGTTTGGTTCTTTAGTCGCTCCTAAAATTCATGTCACATCGAATGTTTAGATACTAATAAAGAGCATTAAATATAGATTAATTACAAAACCAATTACATAGATGGAGGCTAATTTGTGAGACGATTTTTTAAACCTAATTAATCTGTCAGTAGCACATGTTTACTGTAGCACCACGTTGTCAAATCATGGACTAATTAGGCTTAAAAGATTCGTCTCGCAAATTAGTCGCAAGTTGTGTAATTTGTTTCGTAATTAGTCTATATTTAATATTCCATGAATGTGTCTAAGCATTCGATGTGACAGGAATTTTAGGAGCGCCTGTAGAAACCAAACAGGGCCTTAGATGCCTCCATTGGAATCCAGCAAAGAGACGGCAGTTGTAACACCCCGGTGTTACATTGTAATGTTTTGCTAAAACATTTCATGAGCATCATAATTATGTGCATGTGTGTATAACATAAATTATAAAGCAATGTTGGCCCTTGAAACAGATATATGAAACGAGAAAGCGAAGGTTATGTTTCGTGTCACATAACGTTGTTTATTACCCTAATCGAATTCTTGTCAAAACAAAAGGGCTAGAGAACGTTTTGTGAACGGCGATAAATCATGTGCGGTCGAGGACAATGTAACTAGCTAGTACACCCCGTGGGTCGGAATTGGTTTTTCGACGCGAAATCGTTCGTAACAAAGTCGTTCGCATAAGTTTTTAATTGGGCCGACGGTGCCACTTTTGACAAGCTCTGTGGAGCGATCGGCTTAAGCAGTAGCGCGGTGTCATGACTGCGATGGATAGCTTAATGTACCCTCTCGCGCATCGAGCAAATAGTTTGATGTTTGGAGCATCGTGTACGACTTTTTCAGCTGCTTTAAAAATCGTGCACGGCACCTAGCTGAGCTCTGGGCGCGGTCACCACCCCTGCTTGCTTGCCAGCGCCCCTGTCGCGCAGGCCACGTCCACTGCCGCGCCGGCTGCGTTCCTCCGTTGGGTCTGCGCACGGGCGCGACTCTAGCATTGCGTGCCAGGTCCGTCTTCCTCCGCTGCCGGCCACGGCCATGCTGCTGCCCCACCGGCGGCCAAGGTCTCAGTTGCTGCTCATGCCGCCATGTTGCGATGCGAACGGGCCCTGCTCTATAGCCTCGGATGCTTG